AATTCACCCAATAGTCATTGCGCACCAACTTGATACTACACAAACTTTGGCTGAAATAACTGCAGAGCATAAGAGTTGCATGTGATATTAAGAAGTAAAAAAGTGCATGATGGATTATATTAACTAACAGAATCAATTATCTTCTTTTGTTAGCTTAGAAACTTGCTAAAATTTGATGAAAGTAACTGCAGTTAACATAACATTATATAAATTAAACAAATATATATATTTTTAATATTACTCAGTATATGTGCATGCTGTGTATTTTTATGGTTGTAAGAGTGCTGCACTGTTAGCTTAGCTTAGCTGTTAGCTATTTAAATGGTGTGCAATCATGAACTTCTCTATTCGGTCACTTACAAGGTTACATTTGAGTTTGGATGTCACCCTTTGTATACAGCAAGACAGCTAGCTAAGTTTTGTTGAAGAGCTATTGACTTTTCTATGCTCTATGCTAGATTCTTATTAAACACCGTCCGTATCCTGCATCAGCTAATAATGATATCTTGTTCCCAATGCCCCCGCCAGTCCAGTGGGCACAAGGGTTCGAATAAGCCTGGAATGTCCCTCTTTTGTGTCTTGGTAACGGTAGCTTGGCAATCCAGACAGCTTGTCTTACAGCATTAGCACAAGAGCTGATTTACAAGTTCAAGTAAGGAAACATAGCATTCCTTTATTGATAGCTTTTGTTATAGTCTGGTTTAGCTTTATAATTGCAGGGGGGAATTGCTCAAGTCACACTGACAAAAGAATAATTGAGACTCAGGAAGTTTTATTGCTTTTTGCCGGGTTGCAATAGTTGGTTTACTGTACCACAGTGATCCCATAATGTCATCGCTGGGCGACCGCGGAGTGGTTTCTTCTCATTTTTGCACACCCTGCACTGGTGTATGAGCTTGACTGAAGCACATCCCTACTTTGGTCCTTGTCCTTAAATGTGCATTCTGTATTTCTCAAAAGTTACAGAAGAACGAAAGAAAACACACCAGTATGACTATTCAAAATCCAGACAGGATCTGTAAACACGGCCTGTAACACTATCCCCTCCCGTCTCGCTTCCCAGTCCTCCGAAAACAGCAGTGTAAACAAGCGACGCTCCACGAGAGAAGAAAAACAGCACAGGCCTCAGCAACGGGCTGATCTATAGAGGATAAGCAGAAGGGTCCTGTCTAAACACTGCCTCTTATTAAATACGGTGTGACGTAAAAGCGCAGGGGGAAAGGTCAGGGTTACTCAAACACTGCACACGGGCAGCGGCCTGACGGAAACAAACGGCTTTCTCCTCTTCCCTGCGCAGAGGAATGACAACCAGTCCTGATATGAAATGGTGTTGAAGTGTGTGTACATTCCGTAAAAAAAAAAAGTAGTTTGTAAGAACTTTTATTAATCAAGGATGCATTAAATTGATCATAAGTTACAGTACATACATTTGTAATGTCTAAAAAAAATATTAAGCAGCACAACTTTTTTTCAACATTGATAATAATAATACGAAATGTTTCTTGAGCAGCAAGTCAGCATATTAGAATGATTTCTGAAGCACCATGTGACATTAAAGACTGGAGTAATGACGCTGAAAATTCAGCTTTTCCATCACAGGAATAGATTACATTTTAAAATATATTAAAACAGAAAACAGTTGTTTTCATTTGTAATAATATTTCACAGTATTACTGTTTTTAATTATTTTTTTATCAAATAATTGCAGCTTTGGTGAGCATAAGAGACTTCTTTAAAAAAAAAGGTTTTTTTAAATTTAGTTAATATTCTCTAATTTAAGTCCATTTTTCTTTAAATAGCAATTTAATTTCAAGTGAAACAACATATATATATATATATATATATATATATATATATTTTTTTTTTTTTTTTTTTTTTACTTTGTAAAATGATGTGTTTTGAACGTTTAATCAAATATTCAAACATTGTTTTATATTAACATTTGTAAAATTTTACATTATTAGAAAACATAAAATTATTCTAGATTGTTTACTATTGCATATTTTACTTGATTTACTCTTTCTCTTTTGCTTTTCCTCCCTTTTTTCTCATGTCACTCACAATTTCAGGTTTCATCATGTCCTCCATCTGTGACTCATTACAGTTCCCAGAAATTATTTCATATTTTTTCCCCCTCAAGTAATTTTTATGTAATCTGCATCATGGCCCAAATATGCTGCTCTCCAAAAAAAAGAAAAGAAAAAAATGCATTGCTGTAGCGGTCGTTCTAAAACAAGTTCCTTCTGAGTTCCTCGGATAGTCCGGATAGCCTCAAGTGAGACCATGCAGGAATTCGGCACCCACCATCTCATAATGTCTGTGGCGGCCCAAAAGAAAAAAAATCTGGGGGATGATACTTGTGGAAACAATGCTCCAATCCCTGGAGCTTCACCTTCCATTGATACTCCAGAAAGGCCCGTTTGTATTTCTAAATTAAGTTTCTGCCTCCTTTTATGGGCCTTCGTGTTCCTGAGCCCACTGTGTAAAGGGCCTTTTGAAAGTGGGGTTTTAACACACAATTGGATTACAGCAAAGCACTTGGTGAGAAAGCGGCGGGTTGGGACTAGCGGACCTGCGAGAAGTACAGATGGTTTAGCGCATGCATAATGAAACAGACCAGGCGGTGTGTGTGTGTGTGTGTGTGTGTGTGTGTGTGAGAGTGTATGAACGCGCCCCCCCTATAGCCCTCAGCATGGCCTGGGAGAGGAAGAGTCGGAGGCAGGCCAGGGGGTATAATGCTCCTACCCAACCTGCCTGCTGCCGCAAGCCGGTCCTAATGATCTAATTAGGAAATCACCTCGCCAACTAATTCAGCCACGTTCCTATCGGTTCGACACCGTGAAGCAACCTGTGCCTGTCTCAACTAGCTCAGGCTTGTTATCGGATGCTAAACGACTTCTTTTTACCTTTTTGATTGTTCGATAATGAATTACACGGCGGAATAACACGTTGACTGAATCACTCCAGGTTGCTTTTTCTATCAGTTCGACACTGTGAAGAAACGTGAGCCCGTCTCAATTAGCCCAGGCTTGTTATAGGACGCTAAACGACGTCTTTTTTCCTCAGCGTCCCTTTTCGATAGTTCGATAATGAATTCTGTTGTCGTATTGAAGCAGAATAACACGTTGACTGAGTCACTCCAGGTTGCTTTTCTTCTCCCACACCGAGCGGCGTTCCCATCTTTTTGATGGTGTGAGAACAAAATTAGAGATAGGCAGGAACCATCCCTCCTCTGTCTTTCAGTCGGCGGCCCATAGAGTGGCTTGTTATGCTCTTGTATAGAGGATTTAGGCCTGATGAATGGGCCTGTTTGTGCACGGTATTTAGTTGTTTGTTGTTTAGTGTCTTTTTTTGTTGTTTATTTCAAGCGGGAGGTTTTTTTTTGTGTCACCCCTCGCTCTCCGAGGGCCCTCGACAGGGGGTAAATGCAGATGTGACACACAGAGTCTGGGTCTCACGCCTCATTTACATATTTAATTAGCAATGGGCGCTGTGTGAGAGAGCACTTGGTCCACTGAGGGCAACTGGGAGAGTGTGTGAAAGTCCCCGCTCACTCTCACCCACCCGGCACCCGGTTTCCCGGCCCCCTTCGTTGCGCTTTCACATATCTCTGGGCTGTTGCTGGGGCGGGGGGTGTTGCTGCGTTGTTTCGGCCCACTCTTCAGATTGCCTTTGTTTTAAACTGTTGATGCAGACGGCAACGCTGAGCTGAATGCAAACAAGGCCCTAAATTGTTTACTTTGTCTAGGAGCAGATGAAGGGGCTGGACAAACTTCTTTTTTTGTGGTGGTGGTGAGGGTCTGGGTTTTGCTTTATCTTCTTTTATCGAGAGTTACTTTTCCATGATTTATCATTAGCTGAAATTCTAAGAAATTTTTTACACCAATTTTAGTTACATTTGTACTCTAAAGTGATGTTCGAAGTTACTTTACTATGATTCATTTATACCGAGAAATGAAGTGAGAAAAGTCATGATTCAGATTTGCCATCCATTTTGTTTTGGTTGGTCACTAGCGTGACATAGGTAATATTTCTCCCAGCATGACTATTTTATCTCCAGTGCAAAATCAATACTCACCCCAGCGTCTAAATCATCATAAAGGGTGTTTCTTTGCCGTTTTTGGCTGTCGTAGAAGAGTTAAAGTGAACGGGGTGAATCTTTGCGAAAGTTCCCTTACTGTCTAGGCACGAAGCATTGCTATCGCAGCTAATGGCACCGTTAAAGAGCTTTCTTGGGAGAAATCGGAGCCCATCAAATTTATAGGGCCTTTTTTATGCAGTACACCCAGGTCTGAAGGCTTTCTCTCTCTAGACTTATTTCCATAAGTGCCTCGGCTGCAAATAGCACACTCAGTGTGAATTCACAGCCCAGGCCCCACTGTCGGTCTGACCTACCGAGCCGCGTGCCAAAAGGACATTGGCTAGAGTACAGTCAGACCTTTTTATTTCCGATAACTTCCCTTTGTGTCTGAATGCTAATAAATGTAGGCTGAAACTTACAGTTAGGTCTGTCAATTGATGAATATAATCATAATTAATGACTTCATGTTCGATCAGTTCCAATCCAATCACTTTATTATTTACCATAGCCCAGATAAATATAATTTATTTGCCACATTATAGTTTTTATGTTGCAACCGATCTCATTTATTAACATGTTAACGCCTAGAAAGACGTATTTTTGCGACGTGTGCAGTTGTCTGTCGGTCTATTGTGGCATCGGTCAGCTCTATTGAACCGGCAACACGGTGGCCTCCTGCATACACACATCTGTGTAGGGTTTCACCTGCACGGCCAGTGTGCGCTTGGCAGCCAGACTGCACGGTCAGCACAGCCATCGATGATTCCTTGGTACTCTGGACTAGACGTTTACTATATAAGTCTTGAGATTCTGGAAACACGATTTCAAGAGACTGTCAAGTGCATGATCTCAAAGTGCTTGTGAAACAAAAGTCTCACTTTCTGACTCTCTCTCTCTCTCTTTGTGTGTCTCTCTATAGAAACAGGGCAGTCTGAAAGTCCGAACCAGCCCAGTGATGGCGACATCAAGGACCAGCCAGAAAACGGTGAGTGTATCTGCGCACATTTTCCAACATATCCGTAAAAATACATGTGCATATCCCGAATGATATCCAGGTTAACGGAACCATGGCCTAACTTAATACACATTCCTGATCAGTGCATATTATTCTGAGAAAAAAAACATTCTTAATCAAAATAAAATAACACCTCTTAAACGACTTTGTGTCTCTGATGACATCACCATGTAATCATCATGTAAACAAATAGCAATTCAGCCGTTATTTTAGCTAACTTGCATTCATGTCTGGCTCCATTATGGTATGTAACAAGCACTTTTCACTATCCAATCGATTCCTGGCTGATAAAATCAAGCCCCTCCCCCTTTTCATCATTGAATATCCCGTTTTACTCATAGTTGTTGTTAGCCAGATGAACTAGTTTGCAAACTTTTTGCATGTCGTTTAAAACTCCCAAGACTCGCTCTCTCCTCTGAGTAGATCAGCGTGAGTCTGTTTGTGAAAGCCCGAGGTGGGCGATTACTCTTAAGAGGATTGTGTTCGCGTAAACTTGTGCGAAAAGTGGCGTCTTTCCAGTGCAGGCAGAGAATTGTTCTAAACGGCCTCTTTTAAAACAAACACAGAGCAGCAATTCCGCTGATTTTGTGTGTGTTTACAAATTATTAGCGGACAATGAAAAAGTCTGTGTCGACTGATTTACAGTTTGAGAAAACATAGACACGATGATTGAATGGAAACAGTTGCCTGTTTGCTTGAGTTTAAACAGAGAATGATGTTGAAAAGTCCTGCTTTATCCTCCCACAACCCCCCTGTATCTCTTGTGTGTGTGTGTGGCCCATAATACTGTATTATAAGGCATATTTTCCTCCAAACGTAAAGATTATCGCAGATGTGCGCCATGAAGCTTGAGCTATTATTTCCACGCCCTTGTGTGTGACACCAACATCGCCCTGTTTACTCAGATTAGGGGATACAGACAGATGAGCGTGTTCATCTCTCTCATCCTGCATGTAGCTGATATTATCTTTTCATCTCTCTCTCTCTCGTTGTTGAACTGAAGATCACCCCGTTGTGCCGATATAGGCTGCACATAATCACTCCGCTAATGTCTTTTTTTTTTCCATATTTTCTCTCCTGTACAAACCCGCTCCATCTGGTATCTGTTTCTGTCGTCCGTGATCTTCGGATTATTTCCAGTTTTGATCCAAAGCAGTACAGGCCAGTCCCGATCCAGAATTCCTGCCATCCTATACAATCTGAGAACTGTTTTTAATTCACAAAAACTGGTCTGGGATCAGCAACTTGACCTGGTGGATATAAAAACAAAGTATCCAAACTGTTGTTAACCCTCTGGGGACCAAGAACGCGCCCGCGCGTTTTGCTGTTTTTTTTTTCACATAGCAGCAACATAGACTTAAAATACTCCGTCATTTATGGTCATATAAATAAAATCAATACATGATTATAAACTATATAGGGTCTTCTTTTTTTGTGTACACTCACATTAACATCAAAACCTTGTGTTTTTTTAAAAATAAATAAAATAAACAGGGTGCGTTTTCAGCTCACTCTGTCTCCGCAAAAATCTTTCTGAAACATGTCTGGAAAATGAACGGAAACTCCGCTAATACTTATCACACAAACATGAAACATACGTCTAAAGAACGCTTTAAATTTCTACTTTTAAATAAAACAATTCACATTTAAAACAAATATTCTCCTGCAATGTAATCTGTCAAAAACTAAAGAGAAGTACAGTTTCTCCTGTCTCAGCTCATTATCGTTAATTTGTTCACACCCACTCGCAGAGCGCGCTATTCATAAGATAATGTGTTGAGGCCATTTGCAAAATAGATAAACGCCCCCAGGCAAATGCTGTAAACGCACTATATTTTTTAGTCAGATTAAGATTCGTCTTGCGCGGCTATGAGGAATAATCCTGGGACATTTACCACAGAAGGGCTGGTTTATTTTCACTTCGAGGAGGAGCAACAGATTCAGCTGAGAAGTGTAAGTGTTTTGTGCTTTGTTCTAATCGCGATATAGAATAACGTTAGTGTCTGTAAACGGACAAATAGCATATCCTACTGTTTAAATGTGAATTATGTTTCTCTCTCTGTGTATGTGTGTGTGTGTGTGTGTGTGTGTGTGTGTGTGTGTGTGTGTGTGTGTGTGTGTGTGTGTGTGTGTGTGTGTGTGTGTGTGTGTGAATGAATGAATGAATGAATGAATGAACGCACAGATACGCACTGTTACAGACGAAATAAAAGAACATTTCTTTGACTAGTTTTGGATAAAGTTTTTCAAATCAACTAAGCATCAAATAAGCTTCAAAATAAAGACATCAAATAAGCTTATGTTTTGTCAATAAACTAATCAACTAAGATGTTTGTTCCAATGCAAGCTATATCAAAATAATGAATCCTCAACTTTGAAATATGTATGATCAAACTAAGACATTTATGGAAAAAGACTATTTTCTTTTCAAGATGTTTCCAACTCTAACTTTGAACTGAAATAAAACCATGTCTATATGGTGAAGGGTGTGTGATAGAAGTGTCCAGAGTATGCACCCTGTATTTTAAAGAAGAACATTTAATTATTTGTGATACATTATTCATTCACAAAGAATTCAGGGACATTATTCATTTACCTAAAGGTTAGAGTTTTCCTCATTTTTTAAATTAAGGCATTAAGATTTTTTATTCCTCTTCTTAGTCAACTTTAGCATGGGTGTTTTCACTTATTCTAAGCAGTGTGTGTGTGTGTGTGTATATACACTACCGTTCAAAAGTTTGGGGTCAGTGAGAATTTTATTTTTATTTTTTGGAGGAAAGAAATCAATACTTTTATTTATCAAGGAATAATTAATTTGATCGAAAGTGACAGTAAAGACATTTATAATGTTACAAAAGTCTTTTGAACTTCCTATTCATCAAAGAATCCTAAAAAAAAAAAAAAACTGTACAACTGACAGACCAACAACTGTTTCAACATTGATAATAATAATAAATGTTTCTTGAGCATCAAATCCTCATATTATACTGATTTGTGAAGGATCATTTGACACTGAAGACACTGACACTGGTGATGCTGAAAATTCAGCTTTGATCACAGGAATAAATTACACTTAACTATATATTCACACAGAAAACAGCTGATTTACACTGGAATAATATTTAATACTATAACCGATTTTTGTTGTATTTTTAATCAAATAAGCGCAGCCATGGTTAGCAGAAGAGAATTCTTTTAAAAGTATTTAAAATCGTACCGACCCCAAACTTTTGAACGGTAGTGTATATATAATTAAAAAGCAATTTTAACCAGAAACCAGTCCTTTGTTGTGTATTTTTGGATTATGTTGTGTTGTAAATAAATCCAAACAATCTAAAAGCCATTCTTTTTTAAATCTCCTCATTCTTTGTGCAAGGCTCCTCATAAGGGCCTGATAGCACCTAATAGGGCCATTATGGGGAGGGTCTTTGTCTTTCTCAGGTGTGAAATACCATACATATTAATGAGAGATCACGCCTCCTCGCATAAAGCTTTCTCACACTAAACACGTCATACACATTATAAAAGACTTTATTGACTTATCTGAATGAGTAGTCAGGATGATTCTCACATAGTTTTGGAGCAAATATTCTAGGCTATGTGATACAATTTTCAAAAGTCTTGTGAATAAATAATCAATATGTGTTTTGTGGCCTTATTTCAGAAACTTTTATTTTTAAGTTTTTCAATAACCATGCATATATAATATTCTCTCAAAAATACAAACATGTACATACATGTTGCTCAAATATTATGGTAGCCCCGTTTGTGCTATATAGAGTGAATTTACACCGTTGCCATTAACATGTTTATAAATAACTGAAAAAAGCACAAATGTCAGTGCATGTCAAAACATCCCAAGGGCCTCAAAAAACCCTTGGTCCCCAGAGGGTTAAAAACCTCTAACTTTTTGTTTTCACTTAAAGGGATAGTTAACCAAATATCATCATCTTCATAATTTACTCACACCCATGATTTTCCAAACCTATGGCAAAAATATTTTAATAAAAAATTAAATAATTTAATCAAATTAAGTAATTAGATTTTATATTTATACACAGTATATTATTTATATTTTGTGTATATATTTTTCTTTAAAAAATATTTCAAATATATTTCAAATTATTACTGTATGCATTTTGTGTCTCCTGAAGCCATATGAAAGCTTTTTGTGAGAGCTACAGAAGAATGGAAAATCATATTTTCAGTTCCAAAGAAAAAAGACAGTTATACGGGTTTGAAACGACATGAGGGTAAATTATGATGAATTTTTATTTTTCAGTGAACTATCCACTAACTCCTTTCAGTGCCTGTTAAACACTGTCAGACGTAGCCTAAAGCCGTCACACACTTCCAACTTTCCCTGTCACCACCTCTATTTCTCCCTTAATTCTCTCTCCCTCTTCTCCCCGATGCAGAAAAACATGACCAACATTTTTTTCCATGGTTTGTTTTTGCTGGTAAACCTTGACCCTTGTGCTCCATGCTACGTGCACTTTCACAAAGCGTTGCTGCTGTCTTTCTGGGACGGGGCAACCGTTGCACAATCCGCAGACTATTAGATAAGGCCAGAGGATATCCTCTCCTTTACAAGCCCAGGAGAGAGAGAGAGAGAGAGAGAGAGAGAGAGAGAGAGAGAGAGAGAGGAGGTGAGAAATCCATTACAGAGAGCTCAAGAAAATGGAAAAGAATGTGTGAGAGACATTTGATTTAAAAAACAAACAAATCGTAAAAACAACATCATCAAGACCATGTGTGCTATTAGATAATGTAAACACGCATTCACGCCTGGGTTCATTTGGTATGTAATTCACTTCACGCCAGAATATCCTGTTTTACTCATTTTGTGATTTCTTAATACACATTCCTGATCAGTGCCTATTATTCTGAGAAAAAACACTCTTTGTAATTCTTTATAAAATTAAACAACATGCTCCAAGTCATGTCAAGTCACCTTTATTTCTATAGCACTTTATACAATGCAGATTGTTTCAATGAAGCAAACAAAATTCAATTCTGCTGTAAAGCAGCTCAAAAAGACAACAGTAAGCAGTCATTATTTAGGTGAAATCAGCTTTGTGTTGATTCAATTCGGTTCAATAACTGTGTAAACTTTAGCAATTATGAAATGTGTTAAATTTAGCTATAAAGCAGCTCTGGAGAAAATAGTGATGTCATCATCCAGCTCAGGATGTGAAACGACATCAAGGCCATCCGTGCTATTAGGTCATGACCGTCATGTAAACAAATAGCAATATTTATATTGTTTTATCTAACTCGCATTCACGTCTGGCTCCATTCTGAAATGTAATGAGCACTTTTCCTTATCCAATCAAATCCTTATACTCATAAAAATCAAGCCCCGCCCCTTTTTATTATTGAATATCCTGTTTTACTCATTCTTGATTTCTTAATCACATTCCTGATCAGTGCAGTTTATTCTCAGAAAAAAAACAACACTTTTCATAATTCTTAATCGAAATTAAATAAGCCCTGCCTCTTTCTCGATAACTTTCCGTCACTGATGACATCACCAAGGCCATGCATGGTTCAATTAGATAATGGCAAGCAAATGGTAATTTAGAAATTAACTCGCGATCAAGTCTGGCCTCACCGCCCTTTTTCTCGTTGAATTTCATGTTTTAAAATCGCATTTTACAGAAGTAAAATGGGTTGCGAACCGTAAAGAAACTAAAAGTTCATTAAAATGTTGTGGGATAGTGACCAAATCACCTAAAATCTTTGTTGAATAAAAAAAGTTTGTTTTTGTCAGTTACCCTGATACAGTATAGGTTTGCTTCTCTTGTGGCCCAGTGTAGTTCCACTCGGCGCTCTTGTTGCTGCGCTGGAGGCTCGTTGAGGTCTCGGCGCTGCTGTGAAAGGCGAACCCTGGCCCCTCCCTACATGTGTGTGTGCGCCGCTAAAGTGGACACAGCTGGGAGTGATTATCCATGTTGAGATATAGAAGCCCTGCCCCTTCCCTCGCCCCTGCCTCCCTATATGAGGCACTCATGGAAATGCCCTCAGTGAACTCCGGGTGCATATGCTCCCTATACTGGAATTCTAGTGACGAAGGCTCCTTCGTTCGTTCACTCTCTCTCCCTCCTCAGCTCCATTGCGTCATCCCTCCGTTTTCCAAGTAATGGTGCGCCTCACTTCTACCCTGTATTATTGTTGTTTCACAGTATGTACAGCTGTGTGGAAACTTTTACTTTTTGCCTTTCTCGCTCTCGACCCTGTAGCCCACTGTCCTCATCGCTTTGTCGTTTTGTAATCTACCTTGACTTCCTGCCACATGCCCTCTAACATACGTCTCCTCTCCTTCTGATTCCTCCCTGAACAAACTCTATCTTACTTCTTCACAATCTCAGGGGCATCTGTGCAGGAATGCTCTCCGGGTCTGCAGTCTTTTAGCTCATGTCAGCACTTTCTCTTGCAATGAGCCATAGATATTACCCTTCCCTCTGTCCCCCTCTCTCTCTCTCTCTCTCTCTCTCTCTCTCTGTTTTTATTATTTATTATTCTGCCCGTCCACATGCTATATGTCTCCTCATCCAGCCAGTCAAGACTAAACTCATTTCTATTGTTGGTTTTATAGCTCGCCAGCCACCGAGCAGAGGAAGTTGTTTAATAGCTAACATCACTTCCACTCAAGTTTCGTCTTGTCACCCCCCCTCTATACATATATATATATATATATATATATATATATATATATATATATATATATATATATAATTTTTTTCATTTTACAGGAGAGAGAATCTGGAGATGTCTTGTATATAATAAAAAAATTTAAGATTCTTTTGTTTTGCATTAATTTACATAATGTGACTCAGTATTGAGTTTGATCCTATGCAGAGTTCTTGTTGGTGTCATATATAGAAGTCGCATTTGTTTATCATCTGAAATGTGCTGCGACTTGTATTCTAAAACGATTTATATAATGCAATTAACATCAAGCAATCAAAACATGCGTTTGTGCTGAATGAGAGAGCTATGTTAGGCCAAGTTTATTAGTAGAACGCATTTCCCATGGTTATAATAAATGTTGTTTATAATGAATACCACTGTAATTTCTGTATACTTAAATTTCTTGTTCTGTTCTGAATACTATTAAACTTAACGGATTTGTTGTGGAGTGAGGGGAAATAAAATACTTGTTTGTAATTTTTGTAATCCTTTTCACTTTATGTACCGGTATTTTACATTATTTTGACTTATAGTCAGGGGCGACTTATATACATATATATATGTATATATTTATACTATATCTAGATATACATATATATCCTTTGTATACATACACATACATTTTTTTTTGGGGGGGGGGGGGAATATATATTTGCTCATTAAAATCTTATCCTACAGTTCTCGCTCTTGCAACTACTGCATTTCTTTTGCAATCTAGTTAGTTCTAATCTAGTCATACTGTATGCAGAGCATTGTAAGATTGTGTCTAACTTGTGATGATTAACCTTGCCATATCAGCAGTTTTTGACAGTATGTGAGAGCAGATCATTATGGGATATGCAGTCCACACTTGACTGCATGTTTTGATTGTGTGGTGTTGAATGGTAGGAAATTCAGGGTCATCTGGTTGTCTGTGGTTGAATCTGAGGCTGATATGGGTTCCTCCAGAAGAACAGCAGCCCGCAGGATGTGTGGCAGGTCCTGGCTCAGTCGTAGTCAGCACAATGAACACAGTAATTGTGGTCTGTCTGCTGAAAGAACTTCTGTCAGCCGCACAAAGAATGTGTTTGACTGCGATACAACCACATATCATACGTAAACACATATAAGATCGTATAATGGTAACTTCTTGGGCATCCTATGCATCTCCCTGTTTATGTGTGTGTGCTGCATCGCACTGTGCCTCTGCCCCACTGTACTGCAGACACTCATGGGACCAGATCCAGATGTGCTCTACCCTCAGTGTCACTCTAAACACTCCCTATTCCCTTTCTCCACTGGGACTGTGTGTGTGTGTGTGTGTGTTACTGTTACTGACAATAAGACTGTCTTTCGTGTAATTTGTCATGTTCATTCCGATAACAGTTTTTCCTTCTCTTTCATTTTGTCTCCTAGGGCACCTTGGCTTCCAGGACAGTTTCGTCACATCAGGTGTCTTCACCGTCTCCGAGCTTGTGCGAGTCTCACAGAGTAAGATCTCCATAACTCCCTGTCCACTGAAAAAAAATCTTATTTCTGTCTTATTTTTCAGTTAAAATATCTGAAAGTCCTTAAAACAAGATAAATTTACTTAAGAAGCAACATTGCAAAAGATATGTTTTCATACAATATCTTTAATACGAGTGTATTTTGTATTAGCTAAGGTGGATTTGTTTTCTTTAAGACAAAATATGGGTCAGTGAGGTTAAAAAAAATCCATAAAAATGCAGTTAATAAATAGAATGACTTGAATACATCCCTTTTATGATTAACGTTTTTAAATTCTGAATTACAATCATTTTTGAAGAAAAAAACAAACATTTTAGTCTTGTGGTGCGACATCCCCCCCCCCCCCCCCCCCCAAAAAAAAAAAGTCTATGATATTTATAAATTAATAATTCATGATACTTATCATCAAACAGATAGATAAAATACATGTGTTGCTTCTCATATAAATGTATCATATACATCAAGATTTCCTGGTATTTTAATTGCAAAACAAGTTTAAAAAAACTCCTTAAATGTCAGTTGTAATTTCACTTTCAGCATTAAAATCAATTGATTGAGTTTTCATATACTGTAGAACCTAAAAACATATCAAGTTATGTTAGTTCATTAGAAATGTTGTGTAAGGGTCACAACCTTTAGCTTGGCATTTTTTAGGGACGTGAGGTTCTGTTTCACCTGTACATGAGGCCAGCCGCAGATTAAAACCACAATATCTGAAGCACCCTTGTTCAAACACCTTAAATTCAGCCCAAAGGTAGGATGAGGCTGGTGATTAACCAGTGTGCTGGAGGAAAGCTTCTCCAGTTTCTCAATGCTGTTTTCTGAACAATGGGCTGAATCCACTGTCCCTCCACTCATTAGAAATCGAAACACCAGCGAAATGCAGCAGTCAGCTGAAAGTGCTTCAATGCAGTGCGGTTCAACAGTACTTGGACTCTCTAAAGTACAAACTAAGTTTTTCTTTTGTGCAGCCTTTTTAAATGTCTCTTTTAAAGTTCATATTTTGTTATCCGAAAATATACCGTACAGTTATGAGGATGCAGTTTTTCGGATGTTAAATATTTTAGTAAAGTGAAGAAAGCTAAAAGGTAAGTATTTTAAGTAATATACAACTTGAGAAAACAATCAAGTCATTCCCAGATTGATAGAGCGATTAAGACAGAATGCAGAAGAACGAAAGCAGGCTTTCCCGAGGAGGCAGGGAGCAAGGAGAGAGGATGGGAAGAGAGTAGAAAACGTGACCTTTAAAAATTGCAGACGTCCACGGTGGAGAGTGACAGAGCGCAGCGCGATCCATACGTGCCTGTCGATACCCGCTAACAATAGCCGATCCAAAGCGCCTGTCAGCACTCGCTGGAGCCTTCTGATCAAAGGTGCATTGATCACACTCCTTCGTGACCTAATCCCGGGCGAAGGAGAGAAGAAGAGGGTGTCATGGGGCCCGGGCAAAGATCCCACCGTGGTCTCACCTCGCAGTCTGCCTTCAAAAACCCTCAAAGTGCCTGCCAACGCAAAGACAGCGTCTGGAGAGAACAAACATTTGGGTGCCACCACATTCTGGCGGCGTGACAGCAGACAGGCGGAAGGAAATGCAGGGGTCAACGTGAGTCCAGCATGCATGTGTGAGGTGGTGCAAACGGATGTGGAGAATGATGAAGGGTATCAGGAGAGAGAGGATGACAGATATTAAAACTCAGCCAGTACTGTGCTGCATCAGAACTCCTGGAGTATGATGGTAACAAGATTAAGGAATATGCATAATTGATCCAGCTCTGCAGAGAGATTGGCTTTTATCCTAACATCTGTGACACACTGAGAAGAAAAGCAAATGCTGGGTGGCATATGCTGGATGTTCAATTCAAATCAAAGGGTTCTGCTCTCTTTTTCCCCCAATTCTCTTTATTCACCTCTCCTCTACACAGTCCAGTGGCTTTTAGTTGGCAGGGGGTTGCCAATGTTGGCTTAAAGAGCATATTACTCTTGAGCCCCACAGGAAGAATTTAGTTAAGTGCCATTCAAAAAAATTCAACACGGGTAATGCATTCTGAGAAATGCACCACAAAGTTGTCAGACAGACAGACAGACAGATAGACAGACAGACAGACAGACAGATAGATAGATAGATAGATAGATAGATAGATAGATAGATAGATAGATAGATAGATAGATAGATAGATAGATAGATAGATAGATAGATACCAGAATGCATCACCTTTTTTGAATTTCATTAAATTCTATAAATCCCCTTCCTGTCATTTCTATTATAATTCCAATTCAAGTTTCTGTGGGCCGTGGCCAATTCATTTCAATTCATGATTTGAAAGGAAGCCAGTTCTTCAATTCCGGATTTTACAGTAATTCACAACAATAGTCCACAAGTCACCTCTTGAAATTCTTAAAAACTCCACCCTCTGCGAAATGGCGGGAGAGTTGACTGTCTCACCCTCCTGCATCAACCTCTTTCCTTCTTTAATGGGCAATACCATCTAAGAAGTTCAGCAGTCAGCAAAGCCCACAGTTAGCATAAGTCCTCTAACAGGATTGCTCCCGATGGAGTGGCTGTGAATTAAAGTGCTGTATGCATGCACACTCATGACTTTGGTCGCTTCTTGCGGAAGGCACAGAGATGATGCTGTTGATTGAAGTGAAGAGGGTAAGTGCACCAGATTGGAAGATGGGTAGAAGAGGTGTACTGAAGTGGCGTATGAATTGCCCAGAGGAGCTCCGTCAGGGCTTCTGTGTGGGAACGTCTGGCAGATTTATTTAAGCGAATGGGGAAGGGGTTGAGTGCAGGCTCGTGCCCGTTCGGAAGATGAAAGGTCGTGATATTGAATGGACAACGGGCTGCCTTAGCTCTTCCCTGACTATACACTATGACCTTGGCTTTGTGCACCCATTACACAATTCAGTGGCAGCCCAATCGAATCTGCTTCTGTCGATCAATATCCTATTAAAGCACCACACAAAAAAGGAGAGGAAGGGAACGAGAGAGAGAAGGAGGGGCGGTCGGGAGTAGGCAGAGTGAAATGAAAGTCTCCATAAAGTTAGCCGCTACAGCTACGTTTTTTGTAAATGGAACTCCACATAATTGGCCAGTCGATACCAAGCTGGGGTAATTTCGGAGATTGGGTCCACCTTTCCATATCCTCCTCCCTCCCCCTGCTCCTCCTTCATCAGCTATTCCCTTCTACTTTCTTGAGTCTTACAGTGTCTGTGTTCTTAAACGTTCCCAGAAAGAGCCTCTATTACTTAGAGTTTGTTTTTTTCCCTACAGCTGGCCTCTGTATGAAGTCAGACACTGTCACTTCACAGCTTGGCACACCGTCAAGCTCAGGTGAGCAAGAGGACTTGTATGTTAGCCAATTTTACTGTTGCTGCCGCCCACTCATAGCCTCTCTAGAGGAGATTGCGAGGGCTACAGAAAGAGACAGGAGAATGATACAGGATTAGGATGAGGTTATTGTTATTAGTGTGCCTGCAAGAGACTCGCAGAAATGTTGGCAAGCAACAAGGCAGTGTGGTCCAGGGGCAGGGACACCTGGAAATCCCTGGGCGAAGGCCGGGCGCTGGCACGCACCATTAAGCCATATGACCGAACAGGGGGAGCGGATGAATTATGGAGTAGGAGAGGGGCCGCCGCGGCAAAGACACTGCCGAGCAGCACCGGTGGGGATACGCCCACCAGTCTTGTCAGCACTGTGCCAACACTGGGCCAAAGCCTGCCAGTGGGCAGTGCCATCTGCAGTGAAATACACACACAGGGATTGAATCTTATAAACGCTAGCTTGCCGCGAGTCGTCCTACATTTTCACATTAATAAAGATGGATAAGGATAAAGATGATCATTGATGTACTTTAAAAGAACTATGAACAATCCCTTTAAGTGACATGATGTGCACAATGGTCATAGCACATAGCTTACTCTTTGCAGGTGTCAATCTAGCAACCTGCTGATTATTAGTCCTTTTCTTCAGAGTGTTTTTAACAGGAGTAGTAATATGCTGAGTCCAGGACTACATTCTCTTCTACTTCTTAACCTCCCTCAACTGGACACCGACCTGCAGACTCCAACAGTGAGGTTCCTGCTGCTTTCTTTCCTCATTTGATTTGATGGGAAACTATACGGTGAAGGTGTAAGGTCTAGCCCCATGCGGACCTTCTTCTCCAGACTGAGAACTCTGAACCTATGCTGTAGGTCTATATCCACACAGGAGCTGAACCAGCAGAAAACCCCACTGAAGACCTGTCAAAGCTCACCAACTTCAGACCAGCTCTAGATGAGACCCCATCACGCTACAGTCCTCTCGCTCAATAAAGCAATGAGGAGTAAGGCGGAGGCAAGACGGGGTGAACAGACGTCCAGGGTTTTTGAAGTTGATTGCTACTGCCTTTGTTGTCAAATGCTTCAATTTGAAAATCCGGCCTGAACAAAAGCCGATTTTTTTTCTCTCTCTTTCTCTTCCTCCTCCCCCTGCTCTTTACAAATGAATAGCCTCCCCAGCTTTTGTAGATGCTTTAGCGGCCAGTGTTTGGGTGGAGGGGAGGAGTATGTCTGTTTGTTGTGTGTATGTTAAGAGGGATTTTCAACTCTTGAGACAAGAGACTACACCAAAAAACCTCTGCCACGTCCAGTAGACTCGGTCACTTTGCTGTCCCGACAACAAACTTCCTGTAGCTTGCCGGCCTTTGGTCTGAAACCTTTTTGCCTGGTTCTCTTTTACCACAGGTTTACCTTTCTATCTATAAAACTTACTACATGTTTAAGTAGGTATGCATGATATATCTGTAACATATCTGTAAAAATTGGAGATATTTAATTTCATCATATTGTTGGATATTGAAAATGTAAAAAAGAATTGTAATTTTTTTTTTACTGTCATCTAACAAAGTAAATCCAGAATCCTCATCCTCATAAATCCTCATTAATCATTTGTACCTTTGTGGACATCCACCAAGCGAGTTTTTGTCAGGTTTAGCTAACTTGTGTGGCCGATTATTTATTTATTCTTGTCCCCAATGCATAGCTAAGTAAAGCCACACACTGCACTGCCATTCCTCTGCACTAAGTAAATAGAATAGATTGAAACATTTTGCTAATGTACTTTGCGCCCAGCAACTTGAAAGGTAAAGCAGTAAAGATCAGAGAGAGAGAGAACAGAAGGGAAAGCAGAGAAGAGAGAGAGATCAATGCCGGCCTGATAGCCACAGGCTTCATTTGGAATCCTCCAAGCGAAAGCACTTGATAAAGCCTTTAAGAGGTAGAGACTGCGGATTACCTTTATGATTGATTTCCATTCCAGTCAGACAGACTGCAGTGTGGTCATTTTTCTACCCAAACTGCAGCAGCAGGGCCGGCCGCTCTCGGCGCGATGGTGCGTTTGTGTGTGTGAGTGTGTGTGTGCGTTAAGGGCCGGCTGAGTTACTGCAGCCCAGTGCCCAGGTTAGCTCTCACACAAATTACTTCACATCCTACTATTAGCCATGCAAATGCAGCCGGCTTTACTGCTCATCATAAATAATCTGAGAGCCACCACTTCTATTAGAGCAAAGGACCGCCCAACCCCCCTCCAAAAAAAAAAGTTAACATAAAGAGATGACTCAGAAATAATAGCACTTCCTTTCTCACTTCCTACGTATCCAACTTTTAGCTTGTTGGCCAGTGCACCGGCTCTCTCTCCCTCCCTTGGTCCAACTTGCCCCTTTAGCTGTGTCCTCTTCCAATGTTAATTAGGCAGCCCATTACCGTGTCTATCACAGTCTTCCACGCTGTCGTCCGCCTGACTCTCCCCCCAACCCCCCCACACACACACACATATACATACATCTCTCTCTCTCTACGGCTGGGCCAGGCCTATTAGGTATGCAGGACCAGGGCCGCTCTCTTACACATTCGTGCTGTCCTCATCAAAAAATTGTGGTCTCAGTCACCATGAATATAAAGAGGCATCACGGCTTTATGTACTGTATGACAAAGGCGTTTGATAGAGCGCTGCTCACCGATGACCTACAGAAAGGGGCACAGGATATTTGCAGCTTGTGGCGACTTGTTCTGGGAGGAAAGTTTTGTAACTAGTACTAGTTAAATAATGTGAGAAAAGGTGTGTTAACATTCTTTAAAAAAATATCTATCGTTGTGTCTGTCTATATCCATCTATCTATCTATCTATCTATCTATGGTTCTATCTATCTTTATATTGGTGTGTCTGTCTTTCTGCTTATCTATCTATCGTTCTATCGTTCTATTTATCTGTTCTCCTATTGTTGTGTCTGTCTGTATATATATATATATATATATATATATATATGTCTATCTATTTATGGTTCTATCCATCATTCGTAACATCATTCTGCTGGTCGGTCTATCTATCTATCTATCTATCTATCTATCTATCTATCTATCTATCTATCTATCTATCTATCTATCTATCTATCTATCTATCTATCTATCTATCTATCTATCTATCTATCTATCTATCTATCTATCTATCTATCTATCTATCTGTCTGTCTGTCTGTCTGTCTGTCTGTCTGTCTGTCTGTCTGTCTACCTATCTATCTTTTTAAGTTTAAAAAAAAGAATGTGTTTTGTATGAGCTAAATCAGCAAAGTTTATGATACTGTTGTTGTCAGGTTTTATTGTTGATGTGTAATTGAAATGTAAGCTTGTCGTACAGCCAAGATGGCTACTGAGTGAACCAACTTGCACCAAAAAGGACTTTATTTTTTACTTTTGACGAGGAAATGAAGATGAAAAGCATAAAAATGTGATGCTTCAGATTGTTTTTGTTCACAGTTATTGACTTTTGTTCTCTTTCTTTGTGTGTGGCAGCGCCCATTGCAGCAGGGACGGGGCCCAACTTCTCGTTGGCTGACTTGGACAGCTCTTCCTACTACAGTATGAGCCCTGGGGCCATGAGGCGCCCCCTACCCAGCACTTCTTCTAGCAGGTACACACTCAAAAGACACGCACACACTCTCACTCCTTCACTCTGAGTCTTAATTAATCAGCCGAGGCAGAGATTGATGTGTTGGCTGAGCGTTCGAAGAGGCTGCAGGAGTCTGAGCTACACAAGCTTCCAGCATATGTGTGTCCACCTGGAACCTTCTCCCCCCACCACCCGCTCAGCCTACAGGCCAGTCATGCACACACACACACACACAGACACTGGTACCCAATGTAAAACCGTACTACGTGGCACCCCCGCACACGGGATGTGTAGACAGATGCGGGCTGTGTTTGGACACGTGTGTGTGCACAGCTGAAACGCAGCGAATAAACGGTCACTGTGATTTCACTTATGGGCAAATTTCGCTGTCACTTTAACATAACGCAGCATACCTAAAATCAACACAAACGTACAAAAACATTTGTGCTAATATGTAACATGCACATTTGAAAATACAACAATCATTATGTGTATGTTCATTTTAGCCATCTCCATGAAGTACATTTGTTGAAAATGATAGAATGCACTCATCAGTAAGTGGACGTTACAGTGTTTTTGGGCATCATAAGTGCCTTTGATGCACAAAAATGTAGTTTAGAGCACTAACTTGCAGGCTTTTGAGCCCATGTGTGCACTCTCACATGCATCTGTGTGTACGTTTGTGCGTCTGCCCACATGCTTCAGTGGCCTCTTCAGCCAGGCCTGCCAAAGCAAACATCTGGAATAAGGACCCTGTGTGTGGCTGCATGCTAGAAACTAATTAAGCGATTATGAGTGAAAAACACCAGTAGGCCTTACATTAACAAATAAATGTCAGAGCTCAACTTACAGCAGATAACTCACACACACATGACCACCAGCCTCCAGTGATTCTCACTTCTTGTGCGTGTGTGTGAAAATAAGCTTGCACATATGTCTCTGCTGTCCATTTTCTTGGCCTGAATAAATATATTCTATACTAATTATATCTATTCTAAACAAAATTTATTTATTTATTTGACACATTTCATGATTTATTTTGAAAACTGTTCCAAATTAACAAATATATTTATTAATAGATAATATTAATAATTTATTTTTATATAATTTTCAAATTGAAATACATTATTTTTATATATATATATGTCAATATACATTTCATGAAATATTACAATATTGAAATGCATTTGTGTCAATAAATTAATTAATTAATACATTAAAAATCAAATAATTGGTCAATGATTTATTTCTATTTTGTATGCTTTATTTATTTTGCTTATTTTATATTTGTATTTATAGATTATACTTATTGACATGTTCATTTATTTTCCTATTTTTTATAATTTTATTTATTGAAAAAAAAAAACATTTTAACATATTGATCTTTTTAATAAAATATGTATTATTTACAGCATAGTGTGGGCGAGGTAAAAATCATATTAATAAATAATATCATAACACTTCATTTATCCAATCACATCCTAATGGGTGAAATCAAGCCCCGGCCCTAAAACACAGCACATAGAAACATTTAATGCTTTCTGGATGCTTTTTAATGTTGCCTATATCAGAATGAAATGTATTTGATTTTATTTATCCACTCTCTTGTCTTGTCTCTTTTTTTGTCGCACAGTTCTGCAAAGCGTATCAAATGCATGGAGGATGAGGTGGACAGTCCGGGAGAGGAGTCCTACTACCCAGGTCAGGGACGCTCGCCTGGCAGCGGCAGCCAAGCCAGCAGCTGGCATGAAGTGGAGCCAGGTAACCATCCACCCTGAAAGCCAGACTCTCACACACACACACACATATTCACACTCTCACACTGTGGGGTTGCGGCTGGAGAGCGAGCGATCGTGTGTGTGTTTGTGCATCCTGTGGGGTATGCTGGTTGTGGGACGGCAACAGCTGTGTGGGGATTATTTCTGTTCTTCTTCTTCTTTTTTGTGGGGGAGGGGTTTCAGCATCTCTGATCCGTCTCTCTGGGTATGACATTTCGGAGATGGCACCCTAAAACTCAAGTGGCACCTCATTTGTTTTTCTTTTTTTAAAGATTTACAGCGTCTGCCCCCCTCAGTCCATCTCAGAAGTTAACCATAGATGGCTTGTAGATGCAGACTCATTTAACTTCATACCCATGTCTACTAATAATGCTAACAATGTATGAAGGGTCCCGTAAGACAGCGTATGTGTGTGGGTTTGAATGTTGAGTGCTGATTCATCTTGGACCACGTGCGTGTATCCTGTGAACTCATTGCCACAGAGCAGAGGACTGTAAATCTGTCCTGCTCCAAAGCGTCTTCAATCAAGTCTCGCTCTCCCTCCATATTAGAAATAGACACCGCATAGTGGACAGAGATAGAGCGAAAACATGCGTCACATATTATAGCCAGGTCAGGACAGAGCTAAAGCAGGGTATTAGAGGGCATGGTTGTTATTAAGAGAATCATTCAAGAAATTGAATGATTCTGATTCCAATTCCACGTAAAGATTCTAGTTCGTTAATGACTCATTTATTGATTCTTTTGGTACTTTTGCAGTACTAGTTCTCGAGCCGAACACGGCGAAAGTAATGACTTACGATTCTCTGGGTCAAAAGGTAATTTGTTAGTTATATACACTGATTTAAACTGAGGACTCACAAGCAGCCCCAGAAGTTTTTCACACTTTCCGCACAGATTTTTAGAGGAAATCTGGGAAATTATAGCATAGTATGAAATTATATAGTATAGAATATTTTTGTATTTAATAAATATATTATTACACAAATAAAATACATAATAAATTATAATAAAATATGATATTAATATAAGATAATACATCTTAAATTAATATTATTATATTTTATACTACTTATTATTTATTATATTTTATATTAATAATATATTTATATATTTTAAGTATACATAAATATATTTCACCTCTTACTGATTTATATATTAAACATTTTACAATATTTATTATTATTATTTTTATATAAATAATAATTAAGCTCATCTTTAGCTTCTGCACACGCAGCTCAAACATCAATTCACGACATTAATGAGGATGATTGGGACTGTCATATTACATAACATTATAATAAGAACACTATTGTAATAAAACGTTGTGAATTCTTTGCGTTTAGTTGCCCTGTAGACGTATTTTGTATAAGAATACAGTCAGACAGTGAAGGAAGTCAGGAAGATCCAGAGAAGGAAACCATAAGACAATGTCATGTGTGTGCACGCGTGCGTGCGTGTGTGTGTGTGTGTGTGTGGCTGTCTGGCAGGTTCTGGACGCATCATATCTGACATGAATGGTTGAACTGCTAAGGTATTGCACATTTGCTTCTACACCTCTTATTCACCCTGCCTTTTTTTTGTTCTTTTGTCCCTCCTTGTTTCTTTCTCCTCCTTCCTTGTCTTTCAAAGCTGGATATAAACTGCGTGGCTCGCTAGCTAGTTCGTTCATCTCAAGACAAGGTAAAACTACATCAATGTTGTCACCCTTCCACACCTCACCTTCCTTCCCCACCAAAAAAAGGAGCTCGTCCATTGTGCCGTCTAGTTTTGTCGTCGTCGTTGTTGTTTCGTACCTTATTTTTTTTGGTGTTGTTCAATTCAGATGACCCCCCCCCAGCTTTCCCCCTCACAGCCATATCTACTGCAAAAAAAGGAAAAGAAAAAATCTGAAGAATGTTTTTGTCCCCCTGAAATGACATGCACCCCCTGCCTCATGATATACCTATGATTTGTATTTGTGCATGATGTCATCCACATCCATAAATGGTGCATCTGGAAATGTTTGCGTTAAAGTGACGTGTCTTTGTGTTTTTGAGGACGCGATGTCTGAAGAAGTTATAATTATATTAGGGATGTGCAAAACTATGTATTTTCAAAACTAGTCGGGCGGAAGTCTATTTTTTATATAATAAATTAAAAGACCCAGCTTTTTGGAGTTGTTTCTGTACTGACAGTCTAGTACAATAAAACTTGATCTGCAAAGTTGTCTCTCTAAATCCATCCTCATTAAACCAGTAATGCTGTATATTTAAGGTAAAAAGTATAAGAAAAAAATCTAGATTAACTCACTCAAGTCAACCTCCCTAACCGACTACTTGGTTATTGGACGTTTAGTTGACTAGTCCACATTTCTGACACATCCCTAACATATTTAAATGTGAAATAAGATGATACAAATGGGGAATTTGGAGGGGTGCTATTGATTTAGAGCTGTGTCTGACTATTAAGTGCTTTTCACAGTTGCTTCTGCACCAAGCAAGTGAGAGTCTGTTCCAATGTGTGTTTGCTCGAATGTGAGAGGGAATGTGTGAGTAAACTAAGAGGGTGAGAGAAAAAGTGAGTGTGATTTGACCTCCGGATCACTCGCTCGTCCATGACAGGATCACATTTCTCGTCCAATCAGCCGCTTGCATCCATTTTTCAGCCGTGGTGTCAAACATCAAAAAGACTGTGACATCTTGAGCTCTTGTTATGCCTGCCATCTGTTTGATTTGTATTCCTTTCCATGAATTTACACCGAGTGTGTTGGTTGTGTGTTTGTGTTTATGTATGTGTGTGCGGGCCTCTCCTATCTTTATTTGATAGCGGAGAACTTCGCTATGTGTTTAAAATTAGCCAGCCTTTCGAAAGTATGTCCGCGGCAGCAGCATGCTTGTCATTGCTCAGGTAGCGGGTGTCAGGTGATAGGGCGGTGTAGAGACCACGGGGTGACGTCTACCCGTCATTCTTCTCGTGTCAGCGCAGTCATAGTCCTTGCCACCTACTCAAAAACTAAACCTAAGAAATTACAAATGATTTTATATAATTTAATAATAACATTTTTAATTATATAAAAAGTTTATATAATTTAAATAAATAATTGATATATTTTTTTGTTGCTGAAAATGATCAAAGTAGTATCAAATGTGTATTTAATTAAATGAAAAGCTATATATATATTATATATATATAATATATAATATATGTGTTATACTGAAATTTTAAAAATGTGACGAGACCAGCATTTCCCTCTAGCATTTTGAGCGCTGTTGAACAGATTCTTAAACACCTCTGACACGCTCAACATATATGTCTCTGATTGGCCATTGTATTCACACACGTAACATATATGTCTCTGATTGGCCATTGTATTCACACACTTAACATATATGTCTCTTGATTGGCCATTGTATTCACACACTCAACATATATCTGTGATTGGCTACAATGATCAGCGCTTCAAAACATGTTGTAAATAGACATATTTGACGCTATTCACTGAGCTACATGAAAAAAAATATAGATATTAAATATTAATTTAATATAAAGATACACACGGGAGCATTTGAAAGCAGGCATCTATCGGTGGATATATTAGGGATCCGCTGATAGACACCTGTTTTCAAATGCTCCCGTCTGTATCTGTATATTAAATTAATATTTAAAAATCTGTATTTTTTTTTTATTGTAGCTAGATATTTAATATCTCTCTCTATATATATATATATATACACTACCGTTCAAAAGTTTGGGGTCAGTGAGAATTTTATTTTTATTTTTTGGAGGAAAGAAATCAATACTTTTATTTATCAAGGACAGTAAAGACATTTATAATGTTACAAAAGATTCTATTTCAAACAAATGCTGTTCTTTTGAACTTCCTATTCATCAAAGAATCCTAAAAAAAAAAAAAAAACTGTACAACTGACAGACCAACAACTGTTTCAACATTGATAATAATAATAGTTTCTTGAGCATCAAATCCTCATATTATACTGATTTGAGAAGGATCATTTGACACTGAAGACACTGACACTGGTGATGCTGAAAATTCAGCTTTGATCACAGGAATAAATTACACTTTACTATATATTCACACAGTAAACAGCTGATTTACACTGGAATAATATTTAATACTATAACTGATTTTTGTTGTATTTTTAATCAAATAAGCGCAGCCATGGTTAGCAGAAGAGAATTCTTTTAAAAGTATTTTAAAATCGTACCGACCCCAAACTTTTGAACGGTATATGTGTATATATATATATTTAATTTAAATATTTTTCACAAATTTTGATCTATGTATATTTAAAATGTTTTCACGTTTAATTAAATATATATTTATTAAACATTTATTAGATATTACATATTTACATAACATGTTGTATGTACATTAAAAAAAAATATGTACAAATTATATTACATATTAAATGTTATAAATTAAACTTAATAATACATTATTTAAAAACTATATTACATTATTATATTATTATCTCGTGTGTTGAGACTAGTTTGGGCAGATACACTGCCGACTACAGTTGGGCCAGCGCTGATTGATGTGCCGGAGGGGACGGTGAGCGCTATAGGACGAGAGCGATGGAGAGCAGCAGAGAGACGCACTCGATACAGAATTGCCTCCTCGCCCGTCTGGGTTCTGTCAATTTGTCAGCCGGGAGGAAGGGAGAAAAGCAGGGAAGAGGAGAATCGGGCCAGGACCGGTACCAGCGTGTAATAACGCCTCGGAAGGGAAAGTGCTGACTACAGCTGGGCTTTGATTCCAACTGACAGAACCTTTTCAAGTGTTCATTACTCACTCCGAGACATCAGGCCCAGTCCACCGCAAGCACAGACACTTACACACACACAATCAAAGAGAACTGTCCACCAACCCACAGGTTTCATTCTGTTTTCTCTTTGGACTTCCCCACTCTACAGGCACCAAAATATCCCCTTAAGAACTTTGCCAGAGCTCAATCGAAGAACACAGCTTCCTACATGCTGTGTAGCTGATCCAAATGTGGCCATCAGTTGGTCCAGTAGCTGATGGACCTTGTTTTGACCTGCTAAGCCATGTTGGTCAGGCTTGTTAGATTTGGTTGACCACCTTAGACCAGCAACAAACCAGCTTCTAGGGCTATTATCGTAATTGAAACGCTGAGTTGTTCATGAAAACATGAATCAGACATGTTCCTTTTTCCAAAACTGGTGGCCAGCAACACGTCATCTCAGAGTTGTCAAAAGCAGTGCTAACAGTTCTTGCGCGACAAGCTACCTGCTGATGATGCTGAATTTAGCGTTAAACATCTCAAACTTACACCAAACCACATTAATTAGACACGGCCCTTTTCCCAAAACCCCGCCCTACAGCAAAGTATAGTATAATTGAGTATAATGCCAGTGACATTACAATGACAGATGCAGTAGGAGGGCATCAACATGTCATCAAAAGCAATGCTAACAAAATAGGATTCTCGCACAACAAGCTAACTGCTAATGAAGTCGGATTTGGTGCTAAACTTGAACAGGTCGCTTCAACTGCTCTGTGAACACGCAAAATGATTGATAGGAAATCAAAACGACTTTGGATAAGCGAAATATAGATTAGTCAGTAAATAAGATATCCAAAGTGTTGATGTACTTAAGAAATAGCATTAGCAATAGCTAATGTTCTTCTGATTCTCTGCAGTGGCCTGTGAAAGTGTGTGCTTGTATATATGTGTGATTCTCATCCTTTTATCCCTCGCTCCATTCCCTTTTCCACCACTTTCTGTATGTTTATTCTATCAAAGTCTCTTTCGTCTGTGTCATGGTCTCGGGTGAGTTGTGTTTTGGTTACATTGGGCTTCACGTACATTTGAAGAGTCTGTCCCAATGACACTGTATGTTTCCACTCCGCTCTGTCTTCCACCGCTGTCAGCGTACTCATTGAAATTGATCTTTTGAAGCATTCTGCACTGAATGTGTGAGTGTGAGGAGAAAATGAGAACAGCTGAATGGGGAATTTTGTATGTGTTTGATGAATGAAGACTGGAAAATATTGGTAAGCTGTGCTAAATGTCCTTGATGGCTTCCTTTAAATTTTTTACCTTATTCGTATTCAAGTAGCGATCATCTCTTCCTGGTTTCATTGACCTCTTAGATGACCTTTCCATGAGCTCAAGTTACCCATTTAAGTTTCAAAGGGGTTTAAGCCCATCACTAACGTATCATTGATGCTGGGAAGAGATGCTTTCTTTCTTTTTTATCTTGTGTTCTCTCTCTTTCTTGCGCCTGAAAGGGGAAGGAGTCTGCGAGGGCTGGAGAAACCAAGGATGACTTCTAATCACTTACATACACACAGATATGCACCAAAACACTTGCAGTTTACCTCCCCATATCTAAAAACAAGTCAAAAATCAGAAAACGACAACTTACCGCGGCAATACAACTTGATCTGTGTGTTTATAATTTATGATATTAATATTATTATTATTTATTGCACTCAAAATATTATTATTTATTGATATTAACATTAATATACATATTTGGGATAATCTGTGATGCAATATATTTATTATTATTGTCCATATTAATAACAATAATAATAAAATTGCATAACAGAACATGCTAAATAAAAATATAGTATTGATATTAATAATAACTGGTTTTGAACGTCTGTCCTACAAATCTTGTTTTTTTGTTAATCTTTCACATTTTATTTTTGATATATATTTTTCATTTAGAAAGTGTAAGTGTAAATCTTGTGGCCACTACTAGCAAGTGAATCAGCACTGAAGATAAAAAATTTGAACCACTCGCTAAACATTTGACCGTAACAATTCGAATTTTTGCAATTGCCGTTCTTAAAACTTTTAAAAATGTAAATGGCTGTAGTCTGCCTCTTTGCGGCATCAAATACACTGCATAAACAAATGGTATATAAGATGTAAAATCACTCTAGATAGACTAATTTAACCATAATTGGCTTATAACAGGTCTCTGTATTGGGTTGTGTCTGTGGGGGCGTCCCGTACACCAGTGCTGTAATGTAACGAGAACATGTGGACAGCGCGAGGAGAGTGGAGGCTGCCGGCTAAAAACATTAATACAACTTAAACCACACATGATTGAATTGCACTAGTTTAAGTCATTTGCTAGCGTCTGGATGAACTTGTTCCTCTGGGGGATGGTGGGGGTGTGAGTGGACTGCTCTCGGGGAAAAATAAGACATAAGACCAGCGCTTATATCCTGTCCCAGTGTAGAAGAATGGACTAAACACTTTGACTGGGTGACAAATGGGCCAGTGGTGCCTCCTAATTGCCCCTTCTATTTGCAGTTCATTCTTATCAATTTGCATTTCTAACCTCAAGTGGCTAATCGGCCATGGGTTTCCCTCACGTCTGTCTATTTTTACCCCAAAGCGAGAGGTAGAGTGAAGCGCGGTAGTATGGGAGCGCTAATGCCGGAGGGAGGAGTTGAACTAACGTGGCTGAGCATGCACTAACAGACTTCAGTCATTCTCAGTTAGCTCATGTTAGCCTGTGCGTCTGAACTGTTGCTCGCATTAACCCCTGCCAAAGCAAGGCTGCCTGCCAGACTGTGAATGTGAATGCTGTGTGCTTTGCATCCTTAACTCCTTTTCCCTCCGTGTCTGTTCAGCTTTCTCTTTCTTTTTCTCCACCACATCCTGTTTCACTCATTGCTACGTCATTTCATCCCGCTAGCCCATGGGTAAGATGCATAAGATACTTTAAATACGGCCTTTTGATTTTGTATTTTCAGGCGCCATTTTTACCATTAACAACTAACCTCACAGTCATTGTATATCAGCAATACCTCACCGGAACTAATTTGACCCAACTGTTTAGTAATTGGGAGATGGGAAAAAATATTCCTTTAAAGAAATATTATGGGTTCAAAGCTACGGCCAGCTACGCAGCCCCTAAGGGCACATGGTGATAAACAAAGAAGATAGGTGGGAAAAATTTAGTTCAATGCAAAAGTTTTGCATTCTACTGAATAACTTTCCATTCACTCGCAAAACATTTGTGTTCTCTCGCAAAAGTACTGCGTTCCCCTTAGAAACTTTTCATTCACTTACAGAAGCATTGAAATATGTTTTTTATTATTATTATGGTTTCTGGGAGGAACACAATTAGATTTGTGAGCGAGTGCAAAATTTCTTGGGGGAATGCAAAAGTTTTGCAACTAGAAGCAAGGTTTTTTAGGCGAATATAAGGGGGGGGGGGGTGGCAAGCAAACGCAAAGTTTCTTGGTGGAAACGTAAAGTTTCTTGGGGAAAGCAAAAGTTTTGTCAACAAACGTAAAGTTTATCGGGAATGCAAAAGTTTTGTGAGCAAACGTAAAGTTTATTAGGAGCGTAAAAGTTTTGTGAGCAAACTTTACGTTTATCGGGAACGCAAATGTTTTGTGAGCAAACGTAAAGTTTATCGGGAAGGCAAAAGTTTTGTGAGCAAACGTAAAGTTTATCGGGAACTCAAAAGTTTTGTAAGCAAACGTAAAGTTTATCGGGAACGCAAACTTTTTGTGAGCAAACGTAAAGTTTATCGGGAACGCAAATGTTTTGTGAGCAAACGTAAAGTTTATCGGGACTCAAAAGTTTTGTAAGCAAACGTAAAGTTTATTGGGAACGCAAAAGTTTTGTGAGCAAACGTAAAGTTTATCGGGAACTCAAAAGTTTTGTGAGCAAACGTAAAGTTTATTGGGAACGCAAACGTTTTGTGAGCAAATGTAAAGTTTCTTGGGGAATCCAAAACTTTCTTAGGGGAACGCAAACGTTTTGCAAAAGAATACTAAAGTTTTGAGAGACAACACATTATAATACAATTATATTATAATATTCTCCCCATCACCATGTCCCTTTAGGGGCTCCATACTCATATTTTTATCATGAGAAAGTTTACAAGCTCATGCCTAGTGGTCATGTCAGTTGGACATTTTACAGTCAATACATCAAGACGCTACATATATTCACGTGACCTTGCGTTGTACTGGGACAGATTCACAGTTCGGCCCCATGTAGTGTATCCTGTGCCACACCCTGCTGGGCCTCTCAGTCTCCCCTGCTGTCTTGATCCTCATCCACTCACCCAAAAAAAACACCCCACCCCTCCTATCCACTTTCTTTCCTTTGCGCCAGCCTGTATCTCCATGACCTTGCGTTATTAAACTGCACTTATCAATCATTCTTGCCAGGGATGCCATCGCCTACCACATTAAAGAAGTCAGAGAAGTCTGGTTTCATCAGCCATGTGCCTTCGCAGACCGCTTCCCCCCGAACGGCATTCACACACCATCATCGACCTGTCATTACAGGACCCAGAGGTGAGGTCCCAACACCCCACCCTCCTCAAACTGCACCACTCTTCTTCCCCAAGCCCCTAATCCCAGCCAGCAGGACCCCCACAATCCTTCAAATCCCCGTTTCCTTCACACCCCATAGTGTCCCCTTGTAAGATCAGACTGAACGAGCAGGAACTTCAGAGTCTGAACGGAGTAGGGGCGTTCACACTGACAGAGATTTGTAGTATCGAAGCATCTGGACGTCATTTTTAATTTCAATGAAAGTTGGAGATGCAATCAATATGAGTACAGTTTAACTTCATGCAAATTTGCGACACGATGGTGATATGGACCAGGATTTTTTTATTCAATTCCCATTCGCAAACTCTCCATTCAGTTTGTTCGGATTCGATTCTGATTCATTTGGATATATTATGGTTACAATGTCGATCAGCTAATGCTGTAAATTATACAGCAATCCTTCTAAATTGTAACATTACAATAAATAATTAGCAACAAGGCCCAAAACAAGCAGTTCAATTAATACTATTTAGGAATCATATTATCAACGCAACCAAAAATAAATTCTGTGAAGCAATAAGAAATTCCATTTAAAATTTTCTTCAGTTGGTTCACAAAGTCTTTAGTTGTTCTGATTATTGTATCTTTATAAAAATATTTTTTTCATGTATTTATTTACTTAAATTATTTTATATAATATTCGATCATTGAAAGTAATGATAACTTGATGTTAATGTTTTGATTCACTTAAAATAATCGTCTAATAAGTCATTTGTTCATGCATCGGACTACGCTAGTTGTATGTTTTTGATTCACTAAAAAAAAATTGTGTTTGTTTTTTTGGGGGGGTTTTGGAGGCGTGTTTTCTTGCCATTAATTTTGCTGTCAGTGTGAACTGGGCTTGAGGCAGTGTGAGTAAAAGTGAGGGAGAGTTATATATGTAGCTTGTTAAAATCGGACAGTTGTTGACAAATCCGCTAAGGACGTGAGTGCGGTCACTTTACGAGTGCAACTCACAGTGTGTATCACCTCGTCCGGCTGCTTGATTTACATGCGTTTAATGTAAACACTTAACCGGATCTCTGAGTGTTGCTTACACACGGGTTGGTTTTCTCAGCGAACGAGGCTTTATCAGAGCGTGTCCTGGATCAGGTTATCACGACTGTATTGTCACTGGCTGTGAATGGTTTTGTCATAGATAAGAACAGTTTTTAATCAAAACCAAAAGCGGCTACGTATTGCCGTCTTTGCGTGGTTGTGAGTTAAAGTAAGGAAAATAAAGTCAAGATTGTTGAATTAAACTACCTGTTGGCTGGTTTGTAGTTTTCCATCGCTTGTTCAAAGCGCTTTGTTTTGTACAGTATTCAATGACCTCGATGCAAAAGTCAGGGTTTGTGTCTAAATTTACCAGTTTTTGCTTTTTCTCTATCATTAATATTCTTTATTTGCTGGATATAAAGCCAAACGGCTCACAGAACTGAGCCAAAGGGCCAGTTTCCAGCATGAATTACTTTGAATATGTTGAAGTATTAACCACAACTTAATTTGTGAGGCTATTAGTATTAAATCACGCTTGGAAGTGGTATCGCTGTCATGTGAATATTTTATGTCCACATGGACGCAAGGCGCAAAATGGATCGCGATTTAATATGCATATGCGGCGAGGCTTGTCGCCCCTTTAAGAGTACTTCTTAAAAGCTAAATCCATGAATCTATGATTGATTTAAAGTGCCTCCCTCTCTTTCAAGACGTTAGTCAAACCCGGTTTATGCGGTTAGGCGGGGTGGCCGGAAAACTTCTTTTTCTAAAACCATTAAAGAATATTTAAAACCGCCTAAATCTGTCCTCCCTTTCAATTGACCATGCGACTACGCAACACTTGCTCTTTCTTCCTTTTCGGTGTTATTCAAACTGGGTGAAGTGGGAACCTGTTGCCTATTGCATAAATAAAGCCTTTTATTATCACCTTAGTTATTATTTTGATAATCCACCATTCAATGAAAGTTGGCAGCAATGGGCCGGCGATGAAAAAAGGTTGAGAAAAGCGAGAAAAAAAGATCAGTGAACCAACACGATTTGCAAAGTGGAACTAATCCAGAGCCTTTTCTATTACACGCGGGTGGCGGGACAATGGCAACAGAGGAACCGCGCTCAACCAGCTGCTGGAGACTGCCTCCTTTTCAGCTCATCATTATCATTTCCATATTTGCTTTGGGAGGTATGTGTCCGCTGGACCCCCCTCAGATTAACTTTTAGGGCCACCCACTACCTCTGTTGCCGGCCTATGCCTCTTTTGTCAGCAGTGAAAACACACAGTGATAGAAATAAGGCAAACAGGTACTTTTTTCCTTCAAACTTACTCTGCGAATTTAGAAAGGTTGCACCTGCAACGAGTGTGTAAGTTCAAACTTGGAGATTAGTGACTACTAGTTGTAGTTCTTAGTTTAGTTACATATAATAAGAAGCATCCAAATTTATGTTGAAAAGCTGTGCATGTAAATTTTATCTTGTTGCAATTGATTTTCTTTTGTGTATTTAAATAAGTATATAAATATGTAAATACTAATATAAATGTAATTTAATAAATAGGCAAAATATGTATTAATACAAATAAATGCATAATTAAAAATAATATAAGTAATAAATAAAACTAATTGTATTATTTATAAATAAATACATAAATAATATAAATACATAATAAAAAAATCCAAATTTGTGATTTTTATACTGATGTGGTTGAATTCATTTTTATTAAAAAATGTTCTCACATAACTGTTAACTGTAAGAAATTTAATTTCTACTGAAATAAAAGAATTAGTCAATTTAAATATGTACATATTCACATAAATATAAATATTCATGTAATATTTAAATAAATTAATACATATAAATTATCATTTTAATAAATAAATGGGTAATAAAATAAAATGTATTATTAATGCATTATTAATAATTAATAATAATAAAAAAAACTTATGAAGAATAATATATAATGAAACATACTATAGAATAAAACATGTGTATAATAAATAATAAAATAAATACTACTTTGTTTTGAAACTTGAAATGCATAAGTAACAATTTCGTGCTGAAGAGCGTTCAAGTCAGTTATTCTCATAATATTCTCTCTCATAAAATGTGAATGAGTGTAAATGTCATCATACACATGATGTAATTCAGTTAGTCTACTATTTTTTTAAGCCATTATTCATGTTTGGAGGCTTCTGTAAATATTTAGTTTACACATAGGGTACGGTTTCAACTAAGTTTGATGGTGCAACTCTCAAACATTTAGCCACAACTAGGCTAAGTTTTAACTGGAGTTACACCCCAGGTTCTCTTTAACCATTAACATCATTTAATGCCATGGCGCCACGCTTGCTAGAACAACCCGCTGGTTTATAAAGCACAAAGTCATTTCTAAGGATCAGACTCTTCTCCTGGGGCTCCCATGATCTCCTGGTGTCTATAGTTAAGACATGGCTATTCTCTTTCTCACGCTTGTGTTCTGGTATTAGTCTCATCACCACCCCTTTTTAATTCATCAAGCCTCTTTCTGCACATCAGTGGGGTTTTCCACATGCGCTACATGAATATTAAGGCACAGGAGACGGTGTCTCCATTTTAGCGCAACAAGAAACGCTGAATACAGACGAGTTGACAGCCTTGAAAGTGAATTATGTCGTCCAGCAGCCTTGACAACTCGAGACACGGTCAAACTTTGTTTACTTGCAATTTTCCGTCCAAATAACCACCATTAAATGAATAGGAACATGACATGGGAGCGAGCCATTTAAGTAATTGGCTATCGTTCCACAACACTTAGATTCTGTCAGCGAGTTGAAGAAGAAAAAAAGAGTTTTTTTTCTCCGCACTAATTGACTCTGCCAATTTGCATAATTAACATGGTAGGTTTCGCTGTAGCTGACGCAAGCTGGTTACCAGAACTGTAACACTGATCTACAGTTCGTTTGGCTCTAGAGAACCGACTCTGTGATGATTTAAAGTCTGAACAGGTACGTGTTTGTCCTCGTGAGGGCGAGTGATTGACGGCGTTTGAAAAATGGTTTTGTTTGGCGAGGAGAAACGTCACGAAAGCGATCCAGTCTCAACATGTTGCCTCCAGATAGATGCCGCGATGCCAGTTGGATCCACTTCTTAGAATAACGGAGCAGAAACCATATGCTGCTCAAGTGTTTCATTAAGTCAACTCTTGGATTGCAGATAGTACTCGCGAATTCCATGGAAAAGGCCGTTCAATGCAGTCTCTGGGACGGTTGGTTTCTCCAAGTCCTGCTCCGGTTATGTTTGGTGTGATCATTTCTACAGTTTTGTTTTATTGATCATCTTCTTATGAATAATATATTTTAAATGAATACTTTGTCATTTTCATTTTCATTACTTTTAGTGTTTTAATCCGATTCTAGTCAACAAAAATAACATTTAGTTGACGATAACGAAACCAAATATTCTAAAGTGTGTGTATATATATAAATACACACACACACAGTTATCCAAATTTCTTTGCACTTTTTTCATCTCGTCTTCGTTATCGTCAACAAAGTAAAGTCTTATGGGCATTTTTGTCTGTATTTGCGTTGACGAGATTATCACTGGCTATGCAACGTGACTAGCAGTTTTGTGTATACTGGAGCTGAATGTGTGTGTTTGTTAGCATTTGTGCTAAGTACAAGAGTGTCGTCCACTCAAATCCTGACTCAGCCTTGTAAAGGGTGTGTCTCAGAGGGGGTCGGCCGCTGCGGCAGCGCCTCGGGCTAATCCAATACGCCAGAGACGGTAAAGAGACAGCGAACGTGTCTTCGCATCTCCTTCATAAAAGTTTGCGTCCTACCCCCAACAGAAAGAGCCAGCCCATGAAAAGACGGCATCTGGAAAGGTAAGACGGAGAACGACACCAAAAGAAGGGCAGAAGAGAGTCGTCCATTCCATTATTACTGTAAATACAATGGCTACATCGCAGCCCCAGCGTCCAGAGTTTCCAGTCACCCTCTATTGACAGAGCCATAAATCAAGGCCAGAGCTAAGTGAATTACTGCAGCAGGGGGCTGTGGTTTTAACAATGTTTATGTAGTATCAGCTTACCATCTCTCCTGAAAGAGAGCGAGAGATTGGAGAGGGTGAGTGCGGAGTCTTATTAACTCTGCTGCGATACATCACAGGCTTAAAGACCCCGAGCTGCCGCACATCCCAGGCATTATACTAATAACCAATAACTGAATATTACCTCTATTAAGAGCCGCCTAATTAGATTGTGCCGGTTACAATTAAATACTTGATAAGGTTCGATCCATTAAAGGACTGTCAGTCCCAGAGCGCTCCGAAGGCCTGCCAGAAAGGTGCGAGAGAGCCGAGGAACGATGCGTCACTGAGACATTTTATTAGTTGCATCTGTCGTAATGATGCAAAAAGAAATCACAGAATGAGGATCTGGCGCCCTTTGGTGTCAAGTACCGCGCTCTGTGCGTTTTTCAAGTGTTGTTGACTGAACAGCTGGTTATTGCGGTGCTTTCCCATTGTTACGAACAGGTGCATGCATTGTGTGCGAGTGTGTGCTGTCAAACCTTTTGAGTCAGGGTAGATACCACTTTAATTTGATGTGAACAACAACAAGACCGTGAGGGATTAAAGTACAGCCAGGTGTAATATGTCAAGACTGTAAATGGAAGAGGAATCCAAAAATGAAAATTCGGTTGGAATTCATGGACCCTTTTTACAGACTGTGATGACGTGTTTCTATGGTTATCTAGCAAAGTTTTTATATTAGATTTTTTTTTTAAATGTTATGTTATTTGTAATGTTTTACTTTTTGTTTTATTACCTTGGCACGAAATTACAGAAAATTCTTAACGTTGCTGGATGAGTGTGAGGGAGTGACGGCAATTTTTCCCTCTTCTGACCAATGTAATCTATCAAGATTTTAAGTCATAGAAATGCTATTTTCTTTTTTTGCTATTGAAGCAAATGGGAACGCAAAAATTATGTGTTGTAGACAGTTTCCATTCACCACTTTATCAACAATGAGCACTTCCGCTTCCGAAAACTCCAGAAATGTGAAAACGGCCCATTATTTACTCATCCTAATGTCGTTGTATGACTTACTTTCCAAAGAACCCAAAAGATGTTTTTTCATCCTTACAATGAAAGTCAATATTGTTGATTTGGACCCCATTGACTTTAATTATATAGACAAAACAGTTTCAAAATATCTTCTTTTGTCTTCCGCGGAAGAAAGTCATACTGGTTTGGAGCGACATGGGGTAAGTAGATATTCAACACTTTCTAGCTTCATGTTCATTTATGCTAAATCAAATATAGCATCTAAGCTTACTATGTGGGAAACAAGCCCACGCTAAAAACACGCCACCTTTGTGTGTATGTCCCCATCTGCATGAGCAATCCAACCAAGCACAAACTCACCACAATGTCCACATCCTTTCCTCTTGGAGCCCCTCTTCTCCATCCTTCCTCTCCCTCTGTCCTTTTCTGACCGAGCTCCTCTCTCTGTCTCTTTTCCAGCGAGTCCTCACGCCACGCCGTCAAGTCTTCATTTCCCGACGTCGCCAATCATCCAGCAGCCCGGCTCGTACTTCTCCCACCACGCCATCCGCTACCACCCCCAGGAGACGCTCAAGGAGTTTGTCCAACTTGTCTGCCCTGACAGTGGTCAGCAAGCTGGACAGGTGGGCTTCCTTAATGTAAGAAGGCGCATTTTCTACATACATAAATTTCATGTCATGTTTTGTATCCCTGTAGTCGCTTAGTTGGCTAGTCTGACATTGTCTTGTTTTTAGTGACTTGCACCATTGTTCAGTGCCAGTACAGTGACAAAAGTTTGAAGATGTGGAAATGCACATGAGATTAAGATTTAGACCATAAACATACTCTACTATGCAACTATGTATGCTTCTTGCTACACATACAAAATAAATTAAGTTCATTATGTTTTGCAAATAGGTGTCACATTGTCAACATTGCCACAAGGGGCACTATAGCATAAATTTGCATAAACTGTCCTCTATGGTTAGTTTTTTTTTTTTTTAGGTCAATTACTGGCATGGCTGGCAGTATCTTGTTGAACAAATTAGCTGTAGTTAGTTAAAATGGATGGTGACGTTTTGCCCTAGCTACTGTAATAATTACACCATTAGTCTAAATGCTAAGAATTTGAAGCTAGCTGTAGCGCCCCCTTGAGTACTGCCTTTACAGTTTATGTTTGCCTGAACTAAATCTGAATTCAGATTCATGTACACATATCATTTGTCCATAAATGCACCCTAAAAAAAACTATATATATACTTTATGAATAAATATTAATGTTATAAATAAACATGCATATACTATATATTTGAAACAATCCTAAAACAAATAAAAGTCATCTAGCCATTTAAACTAAAAGTTACATGTCATTATAAACATGATACAGAAGGTCCATCTTCTCCATGCCTTAGTTTTCACCAGGTTGTGGGGCTAATAAATCCCTTTCCCGTTCGATAGAGTGACCCAGCTCTGGGCAGACTGACGTGGCCCTGATTGGGGAGAGACAGCGTGCAGTTTGGGTCATAGATTATGAACGGTGAAGTGCGCACAGCAGCAGAATTATTTTTATGACTGGGAGCAGCGAAAAAATAGCTGAGCACATTCTTCTGACGCGCACGTGTGAGATGCTTCTGTTGTGCCTGCTGGTCATACGTGTCCGGAAGTTGATACTCAGGGTGCGTTTTCATGTTTTTCATGTCCTGTTTCTATCCAGCCCAACGGGAGCAGTCAAGGGAAGGTGCACAACCCGTTCTTGCCCACCCCAATGCTGCCACCTCCTCCGCCTCCCCCGATGGCACGGCCCGTGCCCCTGCCTGTGTCAGACTCCAAACCTCCCTCGACCTCCACTGAGGGAGGGGGCAACTCCCCCACCTCGCCAAGTGAGTACTCAAACTCCTTTATATCTAATATTATTATTTACATATCTATCTATCTATCTATTGTAAATGTTTAAATAACTAAATATAATACATTTTAAACAATCCCAAAACAACAAGCTCTGGCTCACACATACCTAATACTCAATCCCAAACATAAAGGCCTGGTTTCACAGACAGGGCTTAGATTAAGCCAGGATTAGGCCTTAGTTCAATTAGGGCATTCAAGTATCTTTTATAAACATGAATTTACTGGTGTGCATCTTGAGACAAAACAATGACACTGACTTATTAAGTGTGAACGCTGCCATCCGAACCCTGGTGCGCACCAAACAAGCGGACCGAGACCTCTGAAAATATTTGTCTCGGTTCCAAACGAACTCTGGTGCGAATCGAATGAAATATGAACGCAACACGGACCAAAGACATGTAAGCAAAACAAAAACAGGAAGATGAGCCCCTAAAAAGGACAGAATGCTCACGCATATAGTTTTTTTCTTGTCATAATCGTGATGTTGCCCGTACAGGCATCAGATCCGTGTCTCCGCTCAGCAGATCGTTTGTGTGAGTGACAGAGACTCCTGACGCTTTTTTGACTCCTTTACATATTTTGCAAGCTCTTCACGAGTTCTCAGCTGGTCAAAATACCATCATATGCAGTCTATGCACATACATCGAGCGCATTTAGCCCAGCACACAGCATTGTTTTGGATGTTCTGTAAGTTCTGTCACAAAATATTGGTAATAAAAGCCGACCAATCAGGTTGTGAACGTATATCTATGTCTTTAGGTTCGGTATCTTTTGGTTCGGTGATAAAAATGCCAATCTGAATGCTAAGCGGACCAGGACTAAAAGTTTTTTTGTTTTGTTTTTGGTCCGGACCAAACGAACCAAGCAAACCGAACTACAAGTGTGAACACCCTGAAACCGGGGGAAAGTGTCTCAGTTGCTTTCAGTTAAAACAGCTCCAACATGCATTTTAGTCTGGGACTAGGCTTAAGCCTTGTCTGTAAAACCAGGAGGAAGTGTCTCAGATCTCAGATGAGCTTATCTACAGTGTGTTTTTATTGGGTTTTTTTATGTACTGAATAGAATTTCCCATCAAACATGCGCAGTGTTCGTATCAAGCCTTTCTCTCAACAGCTGTACTGCTCCCGATACAATATTGATATTCATTTTGTGTGTGTGTGTGTGTGTGTGTTTAATTCTCACCACAGCCTACTCCACACCGAGCACGTCTCCCGCTCAGCGCTTTGTCAGCGTGGGCCCCAGAGACCCCAGCTTTGTAAATATCCCTCAGCAGCCTCAGGTGAGTACATATGCCCAGATCCACAGAGTCCCTGAAAGTCCATCAAGAATGCTTGTTGTCTGTCATAATAGGCTTTCAGCACTGTTATGCCAGCTCATATAACTCCCTCGCTCACTGTGAGAGCTCATAGCTGATTTATTGTGTGTAATTGGCATGTTCAGACTCGGGTTCAATGGCACGGTGACCGCAACCTTGATTTATACCCCTTGCACACGTACAGTCGCCTGCATGCTACAGATTAGTTACAATTTATAATTTGACATGGCAGTTACAACATTTGGCTATTTTGAAGTTGTCAGGATCAGCCAATAACTGATAAAACAAACTGTTAAATTTCAGTTAACATTTACACAGTTTATTCAACATTTATATATCAACCAATAATATTATCATATTAATATTTCACATGACTGTTACGACATTTGGCTGTTTTGAGGTTGTCAGGATCCACCATTAAACATTTACGCAACGTTTACTCAACATTTACTTAAGCAAAAACTTTTATAATACAGAACTGACTTAGCAACTAGTAAAAGGGAAAAAGCTAGTAGCCTCATGCTAATTCCTATGTCAGTTCTGTATTACTCTGTTAAATGTTGAGTAAATGTTGTGTAAACGTTTGAGTTTCAAGTAAAAAAAAATATTTGGTCGCTTAAACTATACATAAACAGTGTTATTGCATTAGATATAAAATTGATTTTACAATTAAAACGGAATGAACAATTTTCCTTTTCACAAAAATATTTTTTGGTATCAAATGATAAAACAATAGATATTATACTAGTCTGTAGTTAGCAGTTTGTGCATTAGGCATTTAAAACCCATATCAGTCAACCACTGCTATTAATATATTCATAAACGGACATCAGGATCACCCTGTTAATGTAAATGAACTTGTGTTTGTTTTTTCCAGTCATGTAAATGCTAATGCGACTGAAATGCCGCCTGTAACCTTAATCGTCACACACACATATCTACAATGACAAATGCAGCCTACACTGCCACCTGCACTCATGCAAACTGAAAAAAGAGCATCAGTTACCTCTGTAAACGCAGCTATAACACGCACACACACACACACACACACAGCAGAGATGAGACCGCGCTCATAGAGAAGCACTCAAGACTGGATTGGATCAGAGAGAGAGAGATTGTGTGCGTGTGCGTGTGTGTGTGTGTGTGTGTGAGAGATAAGTCCGGAGGCCTGCAGCAGCCTCCCATCGATTTATTGACTGTGTCGCAGGCCGCAAGACACGCATCCCCCAGTAGAATGGAGGCAGGTGTTTGTCAGGCCGGCTGGGAGGGGAGCGGGGGGTTGTTATTATTTATTGTTTGTATTTATTTATTACTCCTGCCCGCCTCTGCCACCCCTTCTCTCTCTTTCTTTCTCTCTCTCTCTCTCTCTGTCCTTCTCTCTATCACCTTTTCCTCTCTCCCTCCCCTGCTCAGGTGGCTTCTAAGGTTCTCTACTGGTATCCGTACATTTATTTATTTATATATATACATATATATATAAACAAGAAATTAATTTATATAATCTGAATATGTGTTCAAAATGAAGGCAAAAAGAAATATATAAATATTCGTTTTTGTAAGGAGCATTATAGTTGCAGTCTCGTTTTTTTTTTTTTTTTTTTTTTGTAAGCTTGAGTTTTGATTTTTATGTTGGTTAACGAATTTTTTTTTGTTTTTTTTCCCGTCATTGCTATGTTTGTGTGTAACACACTAACGCTATCAGGCGAACTCTTTTGTTTCAGTGCTCTTTTGTCTTGTTTGTTTGTTCGTGTGATGTTCAAGCCAATTAATTTTTAACATCGTAAAACTGCAAGCGAACAAATAAACAGCCCTTGCACACCTTAATTGTTGCGGGCAGGTGTAAAGCTTAATTCATTATACTTATTTAAAACAGCAACATTATCATTTTACTACAAGACTGTAGTTGAAATGGAGACCATATGAGGATTTTTGCAAGCCACTTTTTGTCATCCTATAGAAACAAGGGCAATGCAACTCTCAGATCAGCTGCGAGCGACGTCTCCCGAGTGCCATCACCCACTGTGTCAGTGAACTCTTTGAGGCTCTGTCTAGCCAGACAGTGATTGGACTGTGAGTTTATATTAAAGCGCTGTATGAGTCTCAGACTGGCTATATTGACGAGCCTGTGACCCCACGGCAGGGTTCGGTCGCACCATTTCATTGGCCTCATAAGCTGGTACGGACCACCCTGGGGCGGGGAGGACAAAAGTTACCCGCGGTGGCCGGCGTGTTTCGGGGGGTGGGGTATAAAAGAGAACGAAAGTGACGGGCAGACAAGAATGATGTGACCCTAACTGTAAACATTCCTAGCGGCCCGGCCATGGTAACCAGGCAGAGAGCGAGAGACGGGACAGTATGATGGAGGGGTCTGCCATGGGAGGAGGGGACGGGAATGAAAGAGAAGGGTGGTGGGAGGGTGGCAGCGCCCTCAGGGGTTTGCTGCCATGGGAGTTGTTGGCGCTTACCCTCTCAGATGGAAAGGTTGGCACCACATGGAGAGATATACGGACGAGCATTTGGGACCAGAAGCGTCACGCCTGTTCAAACTGAGGGGCCACTTTTTAGTTTCCAAAACATTTGTATAATGTAGGTTATTAACCATGCATGATTATTATAGGCATACATGTGTCTGCAGTTTTGCTTGATTATCTAAATATATAATAACATAACATTACATATAATATTATAACATTATAGATAATATAAATTTTGGCAGAAATCATGCTACCTTTTTATGTATTTAATTATTTAATATATTTAATAAAAATGATTTATTATCCTCCCTAGGTGATATTATAATATTATTATGTAACTATAATAATTGAAAATATTATTAATTATATATATATATAACATTTTATAATATACATAATATGTATATATTGTGTATTTATATCAAACTAATAATATACAATTATCATACACATGCTATACAACATATAGTAAATAATGCATAATGTATACAATATATATTATTGGGTTGGACAGAAGTCACACTGCAGTTTTGCTTTGTTTATATTTTTATTTAATTTTTTTGTATGGTTTTAGTTAATGATAATATTTGAAGGCAGATCTACATGCGTGCTTGACAAAACCAACAATTAATCAATTATGATCAATAAATCACATAAAAATTGCAAACAAAAACGTGCACAGGCCCGTAATCTGTGTTTAATTGTGACGCGTGCAGGGACTGCAGCCTGACCCCGGTCCCGAAGCGGTGCAGATAAAGCAATGATTCATAAACAGCGTTTTTAATCAGAACGTGCTGGGAGGAACTGAGTGTGATGGGGAGCGCAGATAGGCACTGCAGTGTGACTCACACACACACACACACACACACACACAAACGCAGGCAGTAAATCGGCCCGATAGAGGCTGGGATGAGAACGCCGGCACCCTTGGCTTTTATTCGCTTCCTATAAACGTTAGCATGCGGGAGAGATAACATCAGTAATTGACTCTTGTCCTCCACGTCAATTTGCCGTAGTTAAGCATCTGCGGAGATGTCCCCGCAAAACACGCCTAACGATTATTACTCGAATTCATAATCAACGTTCATTCCGAACACAAAGAAACCTCAAAAGGCTGCAGGGAAAGCGACGCCTCCTTAATAGTGCTGTTTAAACCAATTTTCACAGATTCTGCCACATGCGTTTCTTCCCGAAGCCAGAAGAGGGCAGAGCGCCAGACTGCCGGACACACAAATTAATTACCCAAGATTGATTTCAACTCTATGCTCCGTGTCACACCCCAGAAAATCACAGGCTCCTGTTTCTGTCGGAACGCATACAGGCTTCCACAAATCTGGAGAGGGAAGGAGAAGAGCGACCGTTTCCCTCACACCTGCCACGCTCTAATAATAAACAACATGAATATGTTTATATCCCCCTCAGGTGTGAGCTGTTTGTTTGGGGTCGTCTAATGGACTGCCGTTTTCTTTTTTCCCCCCCGTAGCGTCTGATGGCAAAATGTAAATAAATAATGTAGTAAATGTCTGCGGGGTCCCGTGGGGAGCTGTAATACGTGGCTGGGCGGTTTGGGTTTGAGATGGCTTTTATAAGCACTGCTCTCCAGGCCCGGGCTGGTTTGCATTACATGAGGCTGAATTCCTCTGAGATGACACTCATCCTCAGGCACTTTAGCGCGGCTGCTGACTCAGCACTCCTCCGACCTGATGAGATTACTCCTGCCATTGACAGCCAGTTAAAGGACCAGACCGAGATTCCCAGCACCCCGTTTATGTCGCTCTATCTCTTCTGATCCTTCTTCCTTAATCTCTTACGCCCAACTTTCTCGATCCTTTCCCAACTTTTTAACTCCTTTTTGGTCTTAAAGGGATAGTTTGCCCAAATATGAAAATTCTGTCACGTCGTTCCAAACCTGTATGACTTAAAGGAGACATTTCGAAGAATGTGCTGGTTGCGCATTAATGCACAAGGCTTTCAAACTTAAAAAAAATACGCCTTATCTGCTATATTCCAAGTGTTCTGAAGCTAAACAATACTTTTGTTTAAGGAATCAAGTTGTTATTCACTGAAAATCTTCACCTCCAGTGAGCTGTGAACGGATCAGTAGTGAATTGAATCAACAGATTCAATAAAAAGAACCATAAAAGTGATCCATATGACTCATGTGATTCATTCCCAGTCTTCAGAAATCATAAGCTAACTTTGTTCAAGAAACTGACCAAAATTCATGTTTCAAAAGAATTTTGAAACCAGTCATTCAGAATTGTTTGTGAAGTGAATCACCTGATTCAATGAAAAGATTCGATTCAAAAGAATGATTTATTCACAAATCATTCAGACTAGTTTTGTGAACTGAATCACCTGATTCAATGAAAAGGTCTGATTCAAAAGAATGATTGGTTCGCAATCATGAATTTCTCGAACAAAGTTAGCATATGACTTATGAAGACTTAAGTGAGACGTATGGATCACTTTTATGATACTTTTAGGGTT